CTTATTCCTTCTACTGACCACAACCAGAAAATGTGTGGCCAGATGTCTCAGGCATTGCCAACCGATTCCCCCTTGTGTCTTCTAGAGGGAACTGTGGTAGAATGGTAATGGTCCAAGTGAGGAATGACGACACACAGCTAGCTGGTGACCAATAGAGTAGTAAGCTTAAGAGTAAGCCTTTGCTGTAGGATAATGGCTTGAGTTCTGAGGAATATCTGGCTATTACTGTTAGCAAACAGTCCATATCACAGTTGTGCTGAAGTGCTATGGAGCCTCTGTAGTAGAGACAGCCCACCTGAGATAATGGTCTCATGGCCTGCCATGCAGAAGCAGGTGTCAGTGTTCTGCTTAACTTCTGTCATGAGACAACTTTCCATGTAAAGTAAGAGTTGTGGTTGTCGAGTGTGACCAAATATGGCCCTCTGTCAAAGTCAGGCCTGCACAGCTGATTTGGGAAAGATGAGTCTGTCCCAGATGAAAGTCATGAAACTGAAGAAGGGAGGAGGAAAACCCCCAAACAAGCCATAAACAGTGACAACTGGTGAAAGGCAGATAAAGCCCGTGTGGATCAGGAGAGGGTAAGCCTGCCTCTTCTTCAGACCTCAGTACAGCCGGTTGGCAATTCCTTTAACACTCCACAGTACAGAAATATTTTATGTAACTTACCACAAAGTCTGTGGCAGATTGAAACTTGGATGATTTTGAAACACTCTACTTTGTAGAAAGAAGAATGAGACATTGAGGGGAACGCTAGAATAGGAAGCAAGGGTGGCAAAGAAGTGTGAAGGCTTCTAATTCAGAGGTTTGTTCCTGGACATTCTTTGTTGTTGCTGTTGTTGATTGTGGGGCTTGAAATCAGAGCCTGGGCAGTATCTCTGAGCTTCTGTGCTCAAGGCTAGCCCTCTACCACTTTGAGTCACTCCATTTCCATTTTTTTTGGTGATTAATTGGAGATAGGAGTCTCATAGACCTTCCTTCCTGCGCTGGCTTCTAACCACAATTTTCAGTTCTCAGCCTCCTGAGTAGCTAGGATTATAGGCATGAGCCATCACTGCTTGGCTGATCCTGGACATTCTGATGTCCTAGACATAGTGGATAGGGTGAGGTCTATGTTCTTGAACTTAGGTATCTGAAGCATGACTGGCTGGGAAGTATAAACATATTCTTATGAGCAAATGTAAATAAATGTGAAAGCTTGAATTAAGTATGCTAAGGCCATAGTCAACTTCTAAATTGTTTCCAAGAGGAAACATTAAAAACTAAGGGCTGGGAAGGTAGCCCAGTGGTAGAGTGCTTGCCTTGCATACATAAGGCCCTGAGTTCTATTCCTCAGTACCACGTAAGTAGAAAAAGCTGGAAGTGGTGCTGTGGCTCAGGTGGTAGAGCGCTAGCCTTGAGCTGAAGAGCTGAGGGACAGTGCCCAGGCCCAGAGTTCAGGCCCCACGACTGAACACAACAACAACAACAAAACCCAATCCCTCAGATGGGCACTGTGGCTCATGCCTATAATCCTAGCTACTCAGGAGGCTGAGATCTGAAAATTGTGGTTAGAAGCCAGTGCAGGAAGGAAGGTCTATGAGACTCCTATCTCCAATTAATCACCAAAAAAAAAAAAGGAAATGGAGCTGTGACTCAAAGTGGTAGAGGGCTAGCCTTGAGCACAGAAGCTCAGAGATACTGCCCAGGTATAAGATGGTCTTATACCCATTAGGAATTACTGTCAAGGATTCATAGATTTTGTGGGCTCATCTTCTATAGCTTGAGCTTGAACTCAAAAGTTTCTAAATTGTAGATGTGTATCAGCTTAGTCAATACTTTCTCAGTCTTTGTTTTCTATTAAGAGTCTGTGATTTTTTTTTCATTTCTAATTAATTATCTTTTGTGGTCCTGCGTCTTTGTCTTTTTTTTTTGTCTTTGTCATCTTTTAGTAAGTCTTCTGTGCCAAGGTAAATACCCTATTTTTGAAAGCACAGGCTGTAATTGTGTACCATCATAGCACTATCTACAAGGTGCTGTGCCATTTTCTTTTATTTCTCAAGTGAAAACAAGGAAAATTCCTTGGGTTTGAGTTTCTGCCTAAATATAATACAACATAGTCGGACCATCTATGTGTCCCCTAGACCAGTGAAACTTTGGATGGTGAGGTTGTCTCTTGCTACTCACAGGGTGCCCATGGCTCTACTGTTCACATATATCTCTTAAACTTCTAGTCTTATTCCTGACATTCTCTGCTTTCTTTTTTCTTTTTTTGGGGGGGTGTTAGTTGTGGGTCTTGAGCTCTGGGCCTGGGTGCTATCTGTCCCTGATCTCTTCAGCTCAAGGTAAGCACTCTACCACGTGAGCCACAGCACCACTTCTGGTTTTTTGGTGATTAGTTGGAGATGAGAGTCTGACGGACTTTCTTGCATGGGCTGGCTTTGAACCACGATCCTCAGATTTTAGCCTTCTGAGTACCTAGGATTACAGGGTGAGCCACTGGCACCCAGCTCTCTGTTTTCTTATTCCCTTTAATTGAGGGATTCTGTGATTGTAGCAGGGGTTGGGGGTATCTATGTGTGACTAAATTGTGGTTAGCCTTATATAGGACCATGTGCTTCCTACTTGGAGGTACTGATAATATAATTCATCATTCCCTCATTTGGCTTTCTTTCTTGCTTGCTTGTTTTTTTGTGTAAGACCAGGACTTTGAACTTGCTCTCAGACACTTGCTTTCACTCATTGGCTGGCACTCTACCACCTGAGTTATACCTCTATCATGTTTTCTTGAATTCCTTCTTTGAGTAAGAACACAAGATTCCATGTATAAGACAGTTTTGTGGTAAAACTGTCAAAAATGAGCCAAAATGGTGTGGCACACACTAAGCATTCTATTTAGATTTGCAGAAATCTAGATTAAGAGTGAGCTAGCAGTTTAGATTCTCCTCTGACAATTATAGAAGTTTTATTTCTGGACAACTTTGGTTTATACTCTAGTGTTAGTCTTGTCAGAACTGTATATTGTATATTACTAAAACCCCAAATGAGGAAATTGAATAGTACTATAATTATTTACTTTTCCAAACTCCAGTAAAGCAGTGGTTGCAATTTTTTTTTCTTTTTGGTGCCAGTACTAGGGTTTGTTTAGCCTCTGGGTGCTGTCCCTGAGCCATTTTGCTCAAAGCTAGTGCCCTATTATTTGGAGCACAGTTCTACTTCCTGCTTTTTGGTGGTTAATTGGAGATTAGCATCTCACGGAGTTTCCTGCTTGGTAAACTGCTGCCTTTGAACCATGATCCTTAGATCTCAGCCCTGAGTCGCTAGATCATGTAACTTTTGTTTAAATTGAAATTTGATTACCTTTCCTCATAACTTCACCAAAATTTTTTATAATTGAAGATAGGTAAGAGAAGCAGTGACCGAGTGGCCATACTGCCAGTTGCCAATGCACTAATTGTATCATCTTGTCCAACTTTCCCTTCTCATATTTACTAATAATATTCATGTATAAACTTAGCTATTTATCTATATGAAAACATTTAATAACAATTGAGTGTTGGCTGCCATGATGTCACCATCAAAAAAAATCACGAGACTCTAATATTAGACTTCTAAATATAATCTGTTCTCAAATTCTATTGCATGTGTTCAAGAAAAGCAGTTGGCATTATGTAAGAGTGATGGAAACTTGTCCTCTCCAGTCAGTCACTGCCATGACTTAACTTTATGTCTTGTCATTGGTAATAGTTTCCATCTAATGTGTTGACAGCTGAGCCCAGAACTTGGGGGTATAGACTTAAAAGACTTGTTGGCTGGAAGGAAGGTCATTTAGTCTTCTCACATGGAAGGGGTGAGATGGCTAATTCTACTTGGTGTAATCACTGGAAATTAACCAAAATCCTAAAAGTATTTTAGGCATAAATATTGAGTCAAACAAAATTGTAGTGGGTTATATTTTCTTTTCTTTCTTTTTGGTGATAATACTGGGACTTGGGCCTTTTTTGCTCAAGGCTGATGCTCTACCACTTGAGCCATTGCTCTACTCCAGCTTTTATTTTGGGGGCGGGGAGAGGAGTGGTTAATTGGAGATAAAAGTTAGGTCTGGCTTCAAACTGATCTTCAGATCTCAGCTTCCTGACTATGAGCCACTATATCTTACCTTGTGATTTTATATATATATCATGAGGCTTGAACTCAGGGTCCTGGGCTAGTACTCTACCACTTTGAACCACAACTATACTTTGGTTTTCTGGTGGGTAATTGGGAATGAGTGGACTTTCTTCTGTCTGGGCTAGCTTTAAACTGCAATCCTCAGCTCTCAGCTTTCTGAGTAGTTAGGATTACACATAGGAGCCACTGGCTCCCAGTGGGATTATCTTTTTTTTTTTGTCGGTCGTGGGGCTTGAACTCTGGCCCTGGGCACTGTTCCTCAGCTCTTCAGCCCAAGGCTAGCGCTCTACCACTTAAGCCACAGTACCACTTCTGGTTTTCTGGTGGTTTATTGGGGATAAGAGTCTAAAGGACTTTCCTTCCTCAGCTAGCTTTGAACTGTGATCCTCAGATCTCAGCCTCCTTAGCAGCTAGGATTACAGGCGTGAACCACTGTCGCCAGGCAGATTATCTTTTTACTGGTGTGATTATCTTTTTACTGAGACCTCAATGTAGTAGAAAGTGGCCAGTACAGAAGTTAAACTCTGTTTTTCCTTCCTGCCCTCCAAGGTAGCTGGACAGACAGTAGCCATTTTAACTCACAACTAGAAGACAGCCCTGATGGTACAACATTGTTGTTAGGGCTTTTTCTACTTTGGGTAAAAGGCCCTCTCTGAAATTATTTAGCTTCTAAATAGGAATTTAAATTCAATTTTGTTGCAAGGTTGTGTCTTTTTAGTGTTTTGCCTTGCTTGCTTGACTTGTGCCTTGACTTGAATTCTAAGAACAATTAGGTGGATGGAAGGTTTGAGAAAGGAGGCCTTGTGGTCTGAACTAACTGGCTTTCCCTCTTTTTGTTTCTTTTCTGATTTCAGTGGTGCTTCATGCCCCACCTCCAACCAAGATCAAGAGGGAGCTGCATAGCCCCTCCTCTGAGCTGTCGTCCTGTAGCCATGAGCAGGCTCTTGGTGCTAACTATGGAGAAAAGTGCCTCTACAACTATTGGTAAGTGGAGCCAGAGGAAGGCTGTCCAGAGTGGAAGTGGCCATCAAGTTGAATGTTCTAGGTATTATCCGCTAGGTGTACCCGAGTCCATTTGGAACTATGGGGCTATATACAAAAAGAAAAATGTGTTTGAGAGCCACAAACAATATAGATCTATAGGGATCTAAATTAGCCTGGAATACTGGGTTATTTGATCTGTGGATTTGAGACAGGCTGAGAATACTTATTCATGTCTATCATATGTTAATGTGAACTTTAAGCACCAAGGAAGTAATCTTCAAATCAGAATAGACCAAAAAAAAAAAAAAAAGGTCCCATTCTTGTGCCCTTTACCTAGGAATATCTAAGCTCCGGGAATGAAGCTTTAATTTTAAACCATTCTTTGCTCTAGAAGGTAAACATAGATCTGCCTGAGAAGGGGAGGCTGAGGTTTGTTAATTCAAGTGATGTATCAGAAGTTTACCTTTCACCAGGATTCTTACTCATTCCCCAAAGCCCTGGAATACGTAGGAGATGGGACCTGAAAATGCCCGGATGTATATTCTCCCCTCACCCTCTACCTCTCTACACATGCACAGAGAATTCTTTGAGAAGGAGGGAAAAAAGGAAACCGGAAGCAGAGGCTAAAATTATCTTTGAGAAAAATCACTAGATGTGTTAAACAAGTCCCTGTGACGCAGTGTGTTTGTCACTTTTCTGAGGTACAAATATTCCCTCAGGGCTTCTAGCAATTTAACTATGTTAATGCTGTTATTTCCTGGCAACCAGGGGCTGAAAACTGGACCTGGTAACCATGCTAATGGCTTCATTGCAGCCTAATGGTCCCTTCTTTCTTTCTGTTTGCAGTGCCTATGATAGGAAGCCTCCCTCTGGGTTCAAGCCATTAACCCCTCCTACCACTCCTTTGTCACCCACCCATCAGAATTCCCTATTTCCCCCACCCCAAGCCACTCTGCCCCCTTCAACTCATGCCCCTGGAGCCGGCTCAGTACCAGGTGTGGGCCCTGCCCCCACCCCTCACTCACTTCCAGAACCTGGACCACAGCCGCAGACATTTGCCGTCCCTAGACCACCACATCAGCCCCTGCAGATGCCAAAGATGATGCCTGAAAACCAGTATCCATCAGAACAGAGGTGGGTGCTGGGCTGCTCTGGACTTCCTCAACTCCTGTCCTCATTGGGAGAGGGAAAGCAGTTTGATCTGATACTTATAGAAGTTCTCATGCTATTGAGGCACCTTGTGGTGGTAAGATTAATAATAAGATGAGTAGAACTTACTTGTATTCCACGCTGTCCGTGGGGTGCTCCATAAGATTTGTAGACATTACTAAACCTTATGAAGCAGGGAAGGGAGAGATACTTGGTGCTACTAACCCCCTTTCCGAGCTATAGGAAAGGTGACTTGCACAGAACACACAAGTCTATGGACCCTCACTGAGGGCAAGTTTCCTGGCTCCTCATTGGAGACTACCCATAAGAATTGAACTTTGGTTTATACCTCTCATAACTAATTTGTTACTATTTTACCTAACTATTAGAGAAGATAGCTGAGTTACAAGGGACATTATTCATCTATTTTTAACATAGTTCATCACTGAGAGATTAGCTCAGGGTTTTAACATCTGCTTTGAAGATAGAAATTGCCTAGTTATACTCCACATATGTTGTGCACCTAATTAGGGAATTGAGGCTTTAAGGGTACTTTTTTTTTTAAATCACCAAGTAAAGGTATCTAGGTATCCCCCATTCTTCTAAGTCCGTTATTGAGGTGTAGATTTTTGGATACTATGGCCTTTATGTGGGATGTCCTGGGAGCCTGCCCTATTTCAAGTTTCTGGGATGGTGAGGTCATGGATTATCAGTGATATAACCAAGGGATATAATAAGATGGTGACCATTTCAGTTCATGGCTGTCTCACTGTATTGTGTGTGGGGAGGGGTGGAGCAAGGGAGAAGGAGAAGGAAGACTGGGAGTAGACATTCTCCAGGTTTGGTTCAACCTGGATGACTATCAGTGTTTACTTGAAGGTCACTGTGGCTTATTTCTAGATGAAATGCAGAAATAATAAAGCACCTTTGCTTGGTTCTGATTTCCCCTGTCCCCTTGCTTTGACAGCTACCCTGTAGAGCTGTGTATTATGGTTAGTTGTTTGTTAATTTGCCACATTGCACGGGGTCTAAGGAGTGAGCATTGGATAGCGGGGGAAGGCGCTTTTGTTGGGACTGGAACTCAACTGAAGAGACAGCAGCCAGTTGTTACTTTATGTCACAAGCTTGCTCTTTGACAGGATAATTGGGAAATTTGGATTTTTTTGTTGTTGTTGGTCATGGGGTTTGAACTCTGGGCCTGGGTGCTGTCCCTGAGCTCTTCAGCTCAAGGCAAGTGATCTACCACTTAAGCCACAGCGCCACTTCCATTTGTTTTGGTTAATTGGAGATAAGAGTCTCACAGACATTTCTGCCCAGGCTAGCTTTGAACCTTGAGCTTCAGATTTCAGCTTCCTCTTAGCTAGGATTACATTCATGAGCCACCAGCTCCCGACTTTTATATAGTAAGCACAGATTTGTTTTAAGTTGGCAACTAATTTAAGTTAAAAATAGTAACAATACTTTATAGACTAAATAAAATCACTCTGTGGGCAAAAATCACCCTGTAGACCTGCCAGCTTATGAATTCTAGCTGAGACACCATTTTTATTTCAGTAGGTTTTTGTCATTTTTTTTCCCCCTGTAAACAGCAGCATCTTGCTGATTTTCTATAGGGTTATCAATTGAGGAAGAGGGGTGAGGTAGTAGATATATTCAGCATTTGAAATACTTAACACATTTGTATTTTTATACTATAAAGAAAAATTGTTCTGTGTTAAATCTGTTTTAGTATTATGTCCCTCTCAATTCACTCTTTTTTTTTTTTTTTAATAACACATCCAAAGGGCTAGTGTAACATTTTATGAATGATTGGCTGAACTGGGGAAATACCTTAATTCCACTGGAATTTTTTTTCCTTTTGCAGCTCTGGCTGACAATAGAGTCATCTACCTCCAGGCTGCTCAACCTCCTCAAGAAAGGAAGAGGCTTGGGTCTCTGAGATTTGTGGCCATCAGCCTTCAGGGGTCTAAAGGGAGAAGGGCCAGACCAGAATGTGGATATAGCTTATTTCAGGGCTATTCTTTTGAAGTCTGCCTGTCATCTTGAACTTACTCCCTCCTACACGTCTTCGCCTGTGGGAATGGAATGGTTTCACACATACTGGGATGATGTGGAGAGTCTTGAGATAGAAATGGAGTCCAAGGGGAAGTATTCTGTAGGCTTCTGAATCAATAAAGTAGAAATAGTACAGAGTACCCCAGAGTATTAGAGTACTGTGCCAAAGATCAGAGTACACAGGAGGCCCTGGCTGTGGGAAAGGCAGAATCAAAATGCTCAACCCGCTACTGAGTTGGGGATCTGAATATATAAATAACTGTCACATGTGGAGAAAAATCATGGTCAATCTCTGCTCTACCATCACCCCTATTCTTCTGTACCTTTTTTGTTAAACAGAAACATTCTTCAGTTCTCTAAATTTTTCTTCCTTTCTTTGCCTTTTTTTGGGGGTCAGTCATGGGGCTTGAATTCAGGGCCTAGGAGCTGTCCCTGAAATTTTGTGCTTAAGGCTAGCACTCTGCTACTTTGAGCCACAGCACCACTTCTGGTTTTCTGGTGGTTAATTGGAGATAAGAACTTCCCTGCCTATGCTGGCTTCAAAGTGCAATCCTCAGATCTCAGCCTCTGAAGTAGCTAAGATTACAGGTGTGAGCCACCAGCACCTGGCCCCTCCCCCCTCTCTTTCTTTCTCTCTCTCTCTCTTTTTGTAGCAGTACTAGGGTTTAAACTCAGAACCTGGGCACTGTCTCTTAGCTTTTTCTTTTCTTTTTTTTTTTGGGTCTGGTCATGGAGCCTGAACTCTGGGCCTGGGCACTGTCCCTCAGCTCTTCAGGGTTAGCGCTCTACCACTTGAGCCACAGCGCCACTTCCAGCATTTTTCTTTTTGCTTATGTGGTGCTGGTGCTGAGGAATCGAACCCAGGGCCTCCTGCATGCAAAGCAAGCACTCTACCATTGAGCCACCTTCCCAGCCCCTCTTTTAGCTTTTTCCATTCAGAGATGGTGTTCTACCACTTGAGGCACAGATCTGCTTCCAGGTATTTTGCTGATTAATTAGACATAAATGTATCATCGATTTTCCTGTCTAGGCCGATTTCCAACCCCAATCAGACCACAGCCTCCTGAGTAGCTAGAATTACAGGTGTGAGCCACTAGTAGCACCTTAAGGAACATACTGTCTTTCTCCCTCTCTCATTTCCCTCACCTTCTTTTATCTGCCTCTTCCTCTCTCTTTCCCTTCCCTTCCTCTTGGCCATACTGGAGTTTGAACTCTGGACCTCTTGCTTGTTAAATAGGCATCTTTGAGCTATGTTCCATCCCTTTTTTTTTTGCCTTATTTTTTTTGGACAGGGTACCCGTAACTCACCTTCCTGCCTCCACTGGCCTTGAACTATGATTTTCCTCTCCTTTCCCTCCAGAGTTGCTGGGATTATATCCTTGAAGCACAGTACCTGGTCTCTTATCCATCTCTCAAACTGCAAAATCTTTCTTGGGTTTTCCTAAATCGAAACCTGCATGACAGTGTATTGATTATTGTTTGCTCCAAGTGTGCCTAATCTGTTCAATTGAATATAGTCTGCTTTTAAAATATGTATATATAATTATTTATTTTATTGTTATTATTAAGGAGTTGAGCAGAGGGGTTACAGTTCCATAGAGTCGGTTTTTTGTTTTTTTTTTTGGTCCAGTCGTGGGGCCTGAACTCGGCCTGGGCGCTGTCCCTCAGCTCTTCAGCTCAAGGCTAGCACTCTACCACTTGAGCCACAGCGCCACTTCCGGCTTTTTTTCTTTTTGTTTATGTGGTGCTGAGGAATCGAACCCAGGGCCTCGAGCATGCAAGGCAAGCGTTCTATCACTGATCCACCTTCCCAGCTCCAGTCTGGTTTTTTTTTTGAGGGTAAAAATTGATTAGATAAAAACTGATTTATGTACCTCTTTCCTTAGATTACTTTTTATCTCTGTATCTTATTTGACCTCAATGTATTTTGTTGATAGTGATGGTATTTTGCAAGGATTATACTTTAAACAACTAAAATAGAATCTTGTCAAAGTACATTCTTAATGTTTCATATAATTCTAGTATATAATTCTTCACAACTCAGGTTATTTTTAGAAGATAAACACTGTGCTTGAAAGCTGTGATTTATATTGGTGATTTCCTCCCTGAAAGGAAGGGAAAACCATGCAATTTGGCATGTTCAGACATGTTCCATTTATCCCCAGAGACCAGCTGCTCCTCAGAGTAGTGTGCTTTTCCTTCAGCCACCCAATTTCATGGGACCGTGGGAGGTGGTCACACGTGCTGGGTAGAGCAGAAGCTATTTCTGTGTCAGGCCCATAGTGTGGTCACACGTATTTTCATATATTATTATATCTCAAGTTGAAGAAAGTCCCACAATTCAACTGAAGGGTCTCCAGTGGAAAAATAGGTTATCTAAGAATTTTGAGATATACTGTTCTCATGCGCTTGACATTTTTTTAAAAAAGCAAAACTCAATAAGAAAACATTCTTGTAGTAGAAAAGACTATTCAAGAAACGGAGATCTGAAGGATTGAGATGCCAACTCAGAAAATTGCAATAGACTGCCTCCATCTCCAATTAACCAGTAAAAAGCAGGGTTGGAGGGTTGGTTAAGTGGTTGAATGCCAGTAAAGCAAGCTTTAGGTTCAGTACCACTGAAGCTACTTAGGAGGCTGAATAAAATCCAGCCCAGGCAGGAAAACCTGTGAGACTCATTATCAAGTTTGCCACCAGTAAGCCAGAAGTGTAGCTGTGGCTCAAGTGGTAGAGTACCAGCCTTGAGAGAAAAAGCTAAGAGACAGCTAGTTCCCAGGCTCTGGGTTCAAACCCCAGTACTTAGAGACAGACAGACAGACAGACACGCACGCATGCACGCACGCACAATCTGCTTCTAGATTGTTTCAAGAACACCAGTATTATAGTGGGTGATCATTCTGTTATTGACAATTAGCAAGATCCCAGTCAGC